CCGCTGTCGGGGGCGGCTCTGCGAGGGGCTGGTGCCACCGTGGGGAGTCCAGAGGCAGCCGGATGAATGAATGGGGAGGGCTGGGTGGGGGCAGCGGGGAGGGGAGAGGAGGTCCGCGGGGCGTTCACTGGGTAAGACGCTCTAAGTCAGGGAAGAAATGTATGCACGCACACAAACACACACGCACAGGCACAAACATACACATACCCAGACATACACACACACACACACGCACAAGCACATACACACACAGCACAAACATACACATGCACACAGACACACACATACACACATGGCACACACAGACACACACACAGACATGCACACACATGTCCTTTCACTCTAGACCACTTTGCCAAGACCTGCTGTACCACCCGCTTGTTCTCTTGTGGGAGACTGTGCGCTCACCTGTGCACCACGAAAATGCATATTCTGCAAAGGGAAGCTAGGCTTTTCCTTCCCCTGTGCCAAGGACAGGGGGCTTCATCTCCATTTCGTCTTTAACTGAGTCATGTCACCAGTTCTTATGCAACCCTGGAGTCTCTGAGAAAAAGCCACTGAAAAGCATGACCCATGACTAAGTTACTTGACTGTGGTGATGTGTCTTTTTTAAATTATCATTATTATTATTATTATTATTATACCAGGAGGTTCCCCCTCCCTGGGTGCCTGAGGAGCACCATAACAGGCAGCTGGACAGGGGGGATGGATCTGGGGGGCTGGAAGGAGCCCATCAAAAAGAAACCAATCCAAAAGGATCCCATTTTCCACACTTTAGTGAAACACACCACTAAGTCTCACAAGGGAGGTAGCTCCCAGTTCATTAGGAACAAAAAACATTCTGTCTCTCTCTCTCTCCATGGGCCCTGAAATAGCTTTGCAATGGGCGGAAGAGGACAGGGTGGCAAACCAGACATCTTGTATAGCCGGAGAGATGTGCCTTTGTTATTATGGCCATCAATCACTGGCAGAGCTAACAGGGCAACCTGAACAGGCATCTGCCTTTGCACGGACACAGCAACTTTTGCTGGAGGGTCATGGAGCCCTTCCCGGAAGTGGGTGAATTAGGCCCCGCTGCACCTCTCAAAGCCTCTGGGCCACTTAGCCCCAGCTTGTGGACTGAGAAACTGAGGTGTAAAGTGGCCAAGATTCAGAACACAAACCCCCTCCCTGCACCTGACAGCAAGTACTCACACAATTGCTGTCTTGCTCTACATGCTCCACCCCACGGAGTTTCTAACTCGTCTCTCACGGGGCACGGCCACGCTTGTGCATGGGGCTCCATAGTCAATGGACTAATTGTGGAATAAGACACTTCTCGTAAAGGAAGGGTGGCAGAAATTGGCCCACTGTGACTCGGGGTAGAACTGGGATTGCCACACAGGAGGCCCGAGTCCCGGCTTCTTCTGTGACTGTGACTACTCAGCGGGTTAATGTGGTGGCTTGTTCCCTGGAGGTGCAGCCTCTGGGAGTGAGCCTTGCTTCTTCTTCTGACCAAGGATGCAGGCCCCCTCAGCCTTCTCTTTTAGCCTCTCATTGTTCCCCCCTTCCCTTTTCAATCTTACTTCCTCTGCTTGCAGTCAATGGATGAGGAGGAATGACTGTTCCTATTATACTTGGACAAGCTGGGGGCAGTCAGCTTGGAAGAAGCACTAGGAAAAGTTGACCTTTCCTACAGAGCAGCACAAGTGGCATTCTGGCACATATTTGTGAATGCAAAGACTGTGGTAGAGCCACTTGCGTTTGCCCTCCAAGAACACCTTCATGCCAGGTATGTTTGGCACATGTCTGGAACTGCAGTTAGTACTGAAACCCCTGCAGACTTTCATTTGGACAACCGGGCTCCAGCAAAATTGGTGTTTTTTTCCCCCAGGGTAGGTGGTGATGCCGTCTTGTCTCCTCTTAGAGTCATGGGGATTCTAATTTTTATTCCCCTCCCTCCCTTGTGGCATCTTTACCTGCACATGAAGACAGCTTGGTAGCAATTCCCTGTCCAGAGACATAGCTCTGTGATTCCTCCAAGGAGGGTCAGAAGAGAGCAGTGCAGGGTCTCCACCATCCTCAAGGACTGAGCACCCCTGTGGTGCTTCCAGGTTCTGCTCTGGAGTGTGACTCCAATCGCTTAAATTACAGCAGCTTCTGTTGCCATCCAGGCTGCCTCTAGCAAACTGCTGCAAAAAAGCCCACTTCAAATGAGGAGTGGTAAGAAAAAGAAAAAGAAAAAGAAAAAATTGGCTTGCTCAGGGGTTTTCCCAGTACATCTCAGTACACTTGCTGTTCATCTCTGGAGAACCTGAATTCAAATCTTCTCTTAGTCATAAGCTGTAAGTCATATGTGAAATGAATGTGGTAGTCTTGGCTTTAGCCTCCACATTTACTTGGTATCTACTTAAGGGTGTTTGTTTCATTCTTGGAAAAGCAGACACTGATACAGGTCATGATGGTCATGCGCTGGCCAAGCTGTATAGGAATCCAGGAGCGAGGGAATAAGGGCTACAATTGAGATGCTAAGGACCCAGCAAGGCTAGCAGACCAGAGGAAGCGTGCTATATGCACAGACTTTAGCTTATGCCATAAGTGTCTCACTCTCACAAGCACCAAAATTTACTACTGAGTGCTCCTAACCCCCTCCCTGTTCTAATAAAGCCCAAGAACGCTGTCTGGATGGCTGACTTCAACAGCAGGGAGCCTGCAGTTGCTCAGCTCTGGCCTCAGCAGTACAACTACTCTCAGGGATTAGTGTAAGAGATTCACCACTCAGGGTGAACAGATCAGAAAATATAAGTCAATTCAAACACGCAGGACAGCAGAAAGAAGCAGATATGAACAAGGTGTGATTTGCAAATGGCAAATTAAGGACTTGGAAAATAGTTGGAAGTCCGGGGTCACGATTTGCCTTGGCTGGTCTGGGGACTCACAGTGCAAGGGTGCAGGGTCCAAGAGGGGATTCACTCCCAGAGGAGGACACCAGGGTTCAAATTATGAAGGTGCTCAGGGGGCTCAGCCCCCCCATAAGAGATGAGAGCCCCCCTATAATATTTGAAAATCATAACCTGATTTTATTAGGGCATCATGATGGGCAGCCCAATTTTTTTTGCAGACCCCTCCCAAGAGTCCAAGTGCAATTCAAACCCTGGAGGACACATAATGTTTGCACTATTGGGATCACACCAGGTACCAGTGAGTGAGGTCAGCTTCCAACTGTGGCCAGGGCTCCTTAGGAACCCCAGCTGCAAGAAGCTACAGAAAAATGTGCATCCCATGTGCACATTTTACAGCAATTAGTGCCCCTTTGGGGGCTGCACAAACCTACTCCAGTTCTGCAAGAGAGCAGGGCTTGGGGGGTTCCTTGTTCCACTACAATCCCCACTCTTTGGCTCCAGGACTGTAATTTTGTTTTTTGTTTGTACAACACCTAGCAAGTGGGCTTCTGGTCATGACCAAGGCTCCAAAGCTCTGCTGTATTAATAACATTAATAAACAATGATTTTCTGCTTCCAAGGTCCCTACACACTGGCGTGTGTCACTAAGGGTAGAATCAAACTCTGGATCCTTTCTTTTTTTTTCAGCTCAACAGTACCAGAAAAGTGCAAAGTATCTGCTGCTCTGGAAACCAAGTTACGAGAAGAAATGGCCTCGTACTTAAAGCATGCACCTGGAAGCTAAGAGATGTGAGACCTATTCCTTACTCTGCAACTGACTCCAGCTGTGACCTTGGCTAATTACTTACACGCTTGTCAGGCTTCAGTTTTCTCCAAAATGACAAGGATTCTTTCTTTTTATTTACTATCATTTCTTGTATAACAGTGAAAGCAAGGGTAGATTTGTACCCAGTAAATGAACCAAAGTAGATATAGATATAGGTATAGATATAGCACAAACTTTCATGAGCCAAGGCTCACTTCATCAGATGCATGTGCTATATATATATGTACATATACTTTGGTTTGTCTATAAGATACAAATCTACCCTGCCTTCCACTGGACATCAGACTAACACCGCTAACTACTTATCTCTGTTCTTGTATTACAGTCATGCTGAAGAGTCTCCAGCTGAGATCAGAGCTCTGCTGTGCACAATGCTGTACAAACACTTCCTGACCCTATATAGGCAGGATAGCCAGAGGGTGGGAGAGGTAACAGACACACAGAAAGGTGTGAGACCTGCCTGAATATATTGATTAGGCCAGGAGGAGAGCTGGGAACGGTCCCCGGATACCTACTCATTGGAGCACACTGCTTCCCCTAGGGGAGCTGTGATCACTCATGGCTGCAAAGTACTCTGAAGCCCTTGGATGGGAGATGCTGGAGAAAGGCAAAGCATTATAACTATCCTGGGGACATGACTCAATACTCTTTCACCCTCATTCCTCTCCCTGCCTCCCCTCAAAAGAATTACGTTGACAGTATCACACCAGCTATAGGAAGCAATAGGCTTGCCCCTGAAACATGCTATTGAATTGCCCTGAGTTTACTGGACGGCAGGAGCAAGACCAGTCAAACAGCTGCGACACTACTTCCCGAGCCAATCGAGCCTCTGCCACCTCCACCGTCCTTCTGCAGCCCCAGAGGACGTCAAGGGTGTATAATAGCCAAGACACACTGCGCTTTTTATCTTTTGTTCCATGCCAGGTGTAGCCATGCCACGTGACACTATGTTCACTGCAGCATGCCAGAGTCACGCGCGGTGGGATCGGTATTGGAGGTAATACTAGCCTCAGGCCAGACTGCTTCATTATGGGAGATATTTTGACAGCCTAGCAGCAAAAGCAACAGCAGCCAGGTACAGGTGGGACTTCTAGGGGAGGGGTAGACACACTGAGATGGGTTTTGCTGTTTAAAAACCACTCCACTGAGAAATGCTGGGTTTTGCCCTTTTTAATCCAATGGATGGACTGGCCAATCTTTTGCATCAATATATTGGAATGAGAAAAGAAACACTGGTGCATACAATAAGACTCTCTCCTTCCCTGGAACAGGGTCGTGCTGATATCAAGTCCCACCAGAGCCAGCACACCACAAACACCCCTGCTTAATGCAAGCTTCGCTCCCATGGGGAATCTGCTTGCTCCCTCATGAAGAGCCAGGTATGGCATGTGTGGCATACAGAGCTCTCTCTCCCTATCACGCTGTGTTCACACAACTCCTCCAAGTTTACCTCCCTGCAAAGTCACTCAGAAGGCAGAGCAGGGTAGTAGTACCTTTGAGACTAAGCTCAGTAGGAGAGTCAACATTCAGCTAGGAAACTAAGCCAAAGAGTTAGGTATTCCCACTTCTTGGACGATGAGGTGAGGGAGACTGGGACAAAGACTGACCTCAAAGCCTAGGATATTATTTCTAAACAAACTGCTTCTTCACTCTAATACTGAATAACTCCTAATACAGGGCATGTTTCCCCCTCCTCGCTCAATCTCTGAATAGTTTAGCTTGTCATTGCTAAGTATACCCTCCTTGAGAACTGGGCTTGCCAATATGTAAGCCGCATGTCAGGAATCCCACAAGTACAACACGGCAAAGGTACCAATAGGGAACGTTCCTTCATGATGTGTGACGGGTGGACAAACCTGCCAGAGGCCATTAAATTAAGGATCAGGCCACCGGGGTGGAGCTGCAACCAGATCCAGAACCAGACCCAAAATTACTCCAAAAAGGGATTAATATCGAAGAGCAAGATCCTTCTTCCATTGAAATCAATGGGGAAAATCTTCACTGACTTCAATAGAAGGGAGAGAAGAGCCCCAGCTTTTGTAACAGGTAGCATGAGAAATGCTACCAAGTGACATTTATTTCCAATTGATTCAAATGATTTGCAAAGCTTTGGTTTCTGAGAGCAAGAAATTTGGCTGCATTATAAGGGATGCAAGCTGGATGTAAAAAAGGCATTTCTAAGAGAGGCCAGTGAAATAAGCAGACCTTCATTGAATCGGATACTGTCAGTCATCCTCTCTGACCCTTCACTATTACTGCAAGTGCCTTCTCCTTTGTAGTTCAACCATCTGCCAAACTCCCTGCAGTTCTCTCAACCTTTTCTCACATCCCATCTAAAAAGGCATCTTTTCTCCCTTGCCAGTGGCCCTCCAGTCCTTATCTGATATTGTTTATTGCTATCTTTGCAACCGTAGTACGGGATCTGGGATATCAAAACGGTTGTACAGAAAAGCCTGCGTGTTTTCTCCCTTTTTTTTCTTTAAATGCTTAGTTTGTACTGCTCTAATCTGCTCCATTACTGAGAAAAACACATTGTGTCAAAAGACTGTGGCAGTTACAGTCACGGTGTGTTAATCTGCAGCTCAATTGTGTCCCAGCACTTGTAGGTCACTCTGTGTTACTGCACTTTCCCTTCCTCCAGCTCTAATATCTTAGTAACAACAGGATACTCCAGAAAACTTGATGCACAAGCACCTACATACAGCTGGAAGCTATTGCTGGGTCAAGCCAACCAAAACAGAGTGAATGTCAATAAGAAGATAACATCAGTTACCCTGTCCCAACATCAGATTAAAACTATAAAAGGCCAAGCCCTCACATCCTCCTTCACATACACACACACACACACACACAGACCAGTCCTGTATAGATATAAAAAGTGTGTGTTAACTAGCACGCTTATTGCCAAATGCATAGCACCTTGTCCAGATGAGGGTAAAAAGCATTTTGTTGGCTAAAACACTGTAATTACCAGTGCAGACATGGCATATGGCTTTTACCAGGCCCTAAACTGGTCCAGTTGACAGGTTTGCAAATGTTAAAGGACTCACTACTTGGTCTACACTGGATTTTTCAAATGTGTTATCTGGAGCTAACATGTTGTAACAACACAATTTTAAATCCCAGTTTTGTGCATAGTTTTTGTACTGCTCTAACTCTCGACTTTTAGATATTGACTGAGTTAAAGTGGTACCAAGAGCTATGGGGTAAGCTACAGTGGCATAAGGCACCTTCAAGCTAATACACCTTAGGGGTAGTACTGCTTTAATTAGAGCAATTGCTAAACCAATGCAGTTATGTAGCAATACAAAAACTGTGCGTGTGGATCAGTCCCTAATTTAAGCTATGTCTGCACTGCATTTGGTTTGCAACAGGTGTAGACATCTGTGAGCTAACTTTAACCTAATGAGCACAGATATCAAGAAGCAGCAAAACCATGGCAGCAGGGACTCCAGAGCAAGCTAAATAGGCACCGGGGCGTGTAGGCAGGCTGGTACTACCCATGCAGAAGCCAGAGTCATCGTATCTGTGCTGCTGGTCCCTGAGCTGGCTGCATTAATACCGGGACAGACATTTGCTACAAATCACACCTTCCCCTGCAGGGTCAACATACTCCTAAACAAGACCACAGCCATACTTCTGAAAACACTGTCCCCCTACCTGCAGTACACGTACATCACCATCACACCTACCCATACAGGCATGTGCGAAGATACCCATGCAGGCAGCTACGCACACCTGTACTCGCACACACCTGCAAAGCCACACGGATGTGCAGATGCTCACTCCTACCTGCCAAAATGAGGCCCAAGGGCTGGGCCGACCCCACAGACAAGCCAGTTTTATGTTGGTTTGTTTTTCTTTTCTTTTAAATCTTACTTTCCCAGAAAAAGAGATCCATTCGAGTAAACCTGTTGCCATGACCACATGGAGATGAAGAGTTTTAATCAAACAAAGCTTGGGTAAGAGGTGAGGAAAGAGTAATGAAAACACAGTGAAATAAAAGGCATTTTAAAAAAACAGGTAAACAGATACTGAAATGTTTCCTCTCCTAATCACAACAGTCTGAGCAAAGAAAGGCGGCTCTCCTGGTCTTTCCCTTAGTTCACGTTAAGTGTAGTACATGCACAGGTGAGAGATGGGTTGCTGTAGCAAGCTAACGTGGGGTTTCACTTGCTTTTCAGACTGACACTGTCCTGAACACACTTCTTTAAGCACCAACATTTCTGTTGTTCGACTTGCTGATTCCCTCTACTCCTCCCCACCCATCCCCTCCAGCCTTTTGCTTTTTTAATTTCTAATAGCTCTTAGACTGAAATGCTAAATTGATACAACAGGGGGTCAATGACTGGCTTTTGGTGGCTAGAGCACTGAGGCAGGCAGAGAGAAAAGGCTGGAAATAAAAACATTTGTTTTAGTCTCTCTCACTGCTGATCACTGAGCAGTAGGTACATGTGGATGGGCATATGCTGTGTGCAACTGTGCATGCATATGTACCCCTGCACGAATGCATATGTACACGTACTAATGTGTATGTGCCTCACTAGCCCCTTTCTTTTGAGAGGTGCCTGGCAATTGAGATGAGAGCATCAGTCTTTCACGCTCAGTTTACCCGTGTTACTCAAGTACCTGTTCCCAGAGCCTCCTCTGCCTATGACCGGCAGCCAGCCACATAGCCGCCCCAGGCCCTCAGCTTCCTTTTCCTGTAAATGAGGATGGTATTTCCCTACCTCACATGGGTTTTACAAGGCACAACTCACCACATCTGCAAAGTGCTCTCAGATCCTAGGAGAGTAGGGGAGGCCCAGAGGTTGACTCTTCATTCTTAAGGCAAGTCTGTTCTGCAACTAGAAGTGTGACTGCAGCACGTGTTGCACAGATAGATCCAGTTAGCTTTGGCCAGGCTAGCTTGAGTACAAGTAGGTGCGCCAGGGCCTTCAGGTTGGGTTAGCTGCTGCTGCTTCTCATGTTCTGTCAGCATGTTCACCTGTCACTGTGGTTTAGCTGCCACACTTCCCCAGAGTCTCCGACGGGCTGTGCCCAAGTCTGTGTTGCCACAGCTTCGCTGCTATCAATACCCGAGCTAGCTGTATTGCAGCAAGCTCAACGGGTCATCCTATGCTGCAAGCACACCTCTGACTGCAAAATAGACACACCCTTGGAGTAGGAAGGGCTTAGACTGGACCAAGCCTGGCAGCTTGGGACCACGACTTCCTGAAAAGTTAAATACTTGGGATAAGAGAAGAAGAGGAGAGCCCTACACTCTGTGCTGTGGCCCCAGGATGTTCATTTTCCCCATGACGTCCACGAGGAAGAGGAGAAGGAGGATTTCTCTGAACCCACTTCACTACCCGCTTTTCCAAGGCTGGCTAGCCATTGCTGCCCCCAATGAGGACAGCGCATTCAAACGGCTGGAGTGGATGAAAGATATCCAGAAGATGAGGAAAGCTGGCGAGGGGTAGCAGACAGGGGTCTGGATACTGTAAGACCTCTCATCATATCACGCCAGGAATAGGGTGTCTTTGAAAGAAAATCACTTATCAAATTGCCAGTTCCTAAGAACAATCATCCCTACTCATGTCAGTTAACAGTGATGGAAAACTCTGGGGAAATTCAGCCCTAATGGTTTAAGAAGCTGTCAGCATCCCGGCTCCACACCAACCCAGCCACCCGCCCCTTCCCCTTCCACCCAGCCCCCCTACAAAAATAATGAGACTTTGTGTCCCAAGACTGTAAATCTCGAACATTTTATAGAGGGATTGTATTAGGGGTTTTACTGCCAAAGAAATGCTTTGTCAGTGGCCTCCCTTGTTAGATGACTACAGTTCAAACATTGTCTGTGTCCACATGCGCTTTCTGTCACAGACTGTCAAAGCTTCTCTGTGGCTTCTCACTTTTGACAAGGCCCCCCTAAGCTACAGCTGGTTTGTTCTTGGCAGAGATATCACATTCGCAGGGAGCTGTTCGCTTTCTTTTCTCTCCCTCTGTCTCCTAGAGGTTACATAAGCCACGGCTCACATTAAAAGCTACCCTGCCACTGAACCATTCTCCTGAAAATCCATAAAAAATACTCCTCACATCCAGTATTGCAGGGCAACTGGTGAAACCCAACTCCTAGCGCATCTGCTCCCTGTGACCTCTTACTCACTGTCTTCTAACTACTCACAGGTGGACAGGTCAACATTTCCTCTTGCACATGCCGTGCCGTACACACGCGCTAGGGCCTATCCTCACATGGATGCTGGGTGCATGCACACTGCGTGCCCAACAAACCATAAATAAGTTGAACCACAAGACACTTATTGGCACCTGCATACACATGTGTACACACACACACACACACACACACACACTTAGGGAGCGATAGAGCCAATAAACAGTGTAAAAGTTCTCAATATTTCCATGGCACTTTTGTTCAATCATGTTCGTGCCTCCTTTAAAAGCTCTCTGGGAATGTTTGGGGAATGACTGTTTATCCTAGGAATACCGACGTGCGTCTGAACTAGGGAACTGATAGGCAAACATGAGTATTTGCCATTCACTAGCTGTCAGTCACAATTCCCTGGTTTTCTCGAGTTCAGTCATTCAATCAGGGAGCAAAAATAAGTGACTGAGCAATCACACACTGCGATTGGCAAATGGTGAAATGTCGGAGCGGTTTGCGACTAATGTTGATGCCTGATGCTTAAAATTGCTCATCCAAACTGTTTGGCAAATACTTACAAATAACTAATCTGTTCACAGCAGGAGCAAGGGACTTTGTTTGTCACATATCTTATTTGCAACAGCCAGCTCTAATCCACACCCAGACACCACGCAAACCATATGCACTTGCTGCACGTACACACATGCACAGGGTATTCAGGCAAGCACTAACACTATATTCACGCACACGCCTGTAACACTGCACACACATTTCCCTAACTGAAACCTTAGAATGGCATTGCTAACTTTGACCAAGTTTAAAAGGCAGTTTCAAGATAATACAGTTTGAAAATTGTGCTGTTCACACAGGCTATCCCCCTAGTCCATTATCTAGAGAGTTATTAACAGCTACGGATAAGATGAAAATAGTTACAATAGCATGGTGACCAACACATGGTATAGCAGCTACAGGCTGGCACCGTGGGTCACCGACTGTTAAAGATATCCGTAACAAGGTGCACATACCCTATAAATAAGAGAGCAGGTTTCCTGTTTTTTGTCCACTAGCAGAGACTGAAAGAGCTAAAATATCAAGCCCACGCTATTTATATATTGGCTTGTGAGATACACCCTGCTGAAATACAAGCCCAGCTTTGTGGGAGCAGTCATCAGAATTTCAGTCGCTAGCATTTCAGCCATATGGTGGCCTCTATCCCATTCCTCAGCAGACTAACAGATGTGCCAACAGCTGACGGGGCAAAGAGCTCCTGCTCGCTAGGTTCCATCACACATTCCTTCTCTCACCACCCACGGAAAATTTAGGAATAAGTTTGAGCCTATCTATGGAGAGAGGGAAAAAAAGTCACCCAGAGAGACTTTTCAAGCAGCAATGGAGCAAAAGAGATAAAATGAATGTTTTTTCTCACGTGTGTCTTGCATTCAGCAGCACTGCCTTGAATCATATACAGCATCATAAAGGTCAAAGCCTCACTGACCCTAAAATAGAGAGTCAACCCCAAGTTAAATGCCCAGAAGCCACTCAGACCCATCTGATTTATCTAGCCATCCACCTATTTGCTTGTCTTAGGCTTTGCTACAGTGTCTGTCTCTGTACCACAGTAACAAAGCCCATTACAACAAAATGCTGATTAGGATGCAGATGGGAACATTATAGGAGGCAGATATAAAATTGGCTTGACAAAGTAACCAAACGCATTTATAGGTAGGGTATTGCTTTTAATTAGCCTTAATTTCCAAAGAGTTATTGCTTGCAAAAAAAAAATCTTTATGCCTACATAAATTACTGACTGTAGGATTCCCCACTCCCCCTCCCCCAATTATTAATGCCTGGGAGGGGAGAGCTAGTGACACCCCACTGCATTTCATTGGGTGAATTCGTCTTGTTCCAATAAACTCCGTATTTTCATTAGAACGGCAAAGTCCCTCCCAGTGCTCAGTGAGTGAATATGGAAATCAAGTCCCACATTTGACTAATCTCTAGACCAACAAGAACCTGTTGCAGTTACCAGCAGAAGTCATTTGTACTGTGCATATGTGTGCAACACTGTCTATATACAGGCACATACATACATATGCAGTCCACAAAGGTGCACACATGCAGAGCTATACTTCGTTCTAAACAAATTTTACAGTTTGCGCGCTGAAATACATTAAAATAATCCGGGACATCCGTTCTACCTCATTATAGACCGAGGGTCACTCTGCTGACATTAACCCACCAAGTAAATCCTGGAAGCTGTGCACAGCCTAGGTCATGAGATCGGGCTTATAGGGGTTCTGCTGGATTAGGTGGCAGGACCAAATCCTCCTTCCACGCTGCTCTACATCTCCATAGCACCTACCCTTGCATGAAGTCACAGGTTCACCATTCACTGTTCCTCCCCCCTAAGAGCTTGGGGGCAAGGAGCATCTGTGACTCATGCCCTGTGCACAGATCCCACAGCAGAAGCATCCCTGCTTTTTTTCACGTAGGCCCTTTGACATACATAATGGTACCTAAGGCAGGAGATGGTGCTGTTCGAGTCCGCAGCGGGAGAGCTCATTCGTGCAGGGCCATGGCATTGCGTCCCTCACTGGACAGGTTGCTTCTTTCCAGGTCCGTATTTCTATTTGCCAAATGAGAGCCAGGGAAAGGGGGCTGCTTAATGAGCCCATCATTATCATCATCATTGTATAGGATTCCCCCTCCCCCCCGAAAGAAATTCTGAAAAATCCTCCAGCTAACACACCAGCCTCCCAGCTTTATCCCCCTCCTGGGCGGCTAAATCCAGAATGGGCTTCTATCTGTCACACAGGCGATTAGGAGAAAGTCTGTGTGGTTCCC